TAACGGGGGTTGGGAACCCCCAACCCAACCCAACGGGGGCGGCCGGGGGGGTTTTCCACCCTGGGGCCCCTTTCCCACGGGAAGGTTTTTTTGGGGGTTTTGGGGTACCCCCCCGGGGGGGGGGGGGGGGGGGTCCTCCCCCTGGTGAACCCCCTCCGCTCCCCCGGCCTGGAAAAGAAGATTTTTTTGTTTCAGGTGCCCGAAAAGGGGGGGGGGGGGGGGGGGGCCTTTTTTTTTTTCCCATGGTTTTTGGGGGAACAAGGCCCCCTCCCGGGGGGGTTTTTGGTTTAACCCTTAAGGCCCCCAAAACCTTGGGGTCCCCCCCCCCCCCCCCCCCCTGTGACCGATTGGCCATCTGTGATCCGAACAAGGCTTCGTCCTCGCGTGGTTCATGGTCTAACAACGAAGGCGCGCGAAACACGAGAGCACGTACGCCTCCGTGTTTTCGTGTCGTGTCGTTTTGGCTGTCATGTCTTGTCCGCTGCTGGAGATTGGAAGGGTGTCGGCGGTGCTTAACGCCCGGGCCAAAGCTCGCGCCCGTCTTGTTAATTGAACGTCGATGGCCGGCTGACCGGCTGCTGGCTTTTTTGTGCGTGTGCGTAGAGTTTCGTGTTGTTCTGGTTTAGTTTCCGTATTGCTGTTCCGTCTCTTTTTTTTTTTTTTCGGTGCTGATACCAGAACCGGAGTAGAACCTTCCCCCCAAGAAAAAGGCATCCAGAAAGCAAATAAACCCCTTCTCAACAAATCTCCCTGTCCCACCCTCTGCTGTTGTCTTGCGTTAACCGCGTTTTTTTTCTTTTTGCAAGGCGTCGACTTCCGAGCTGTACGGTAAGGTGCAGGAGATCCCCCAGAAGGAGACGACCCCATTCTACCCCCGCTCTCCCTACGGCGTGGCCAAGCAGTTCGGGTACTGGATGCTCATCAACTACCGCGAGGTGAGCTTGAGTTTTCGCCCTGCCGCCGACGGCAAGCGGGCGTTGCGTGCACACGCGCCGTGTGGTGGTTTGCGGGAGGAGGGTAGAAAATATGCGGATGGTGGTTTGCTGTTTTTCTGCTTCCGCATTAACGACGCGGGAGACCTCTCGCAACCCCCCTTGTCGACCGCTTCCGGATCACGAAATACTCTCGTCTGTCGACGTGGCTAATTTCTGTTTTCCTTTTTTGTCTCTTCCTCCTGCTCTTCCCTCCATCCCCTTTTTCTATTTCGCGTTCCTTGTCTCCCGATCTGGGAGTGGGAAGCTTGGTGCTGCTCTTGCTTTGAGCGCCAGAAACATGGCTCACAAACACACCGCATGCCGCGTTTTTTCATCGTAAATGTACACGATATGTACGTCTTCCTTCAGGTCACCTCTTGACGTCCCCCCCCCCCCCCCCCCCTCTCTCCATTTTCTTTGTTTCTGCCGTGCTCGTTCCGTACGCCCCTCTGTGGTTTTTTTCGTTTTGTCTTGGGTGTTTTCTTTTCCTTGCTTGAAAACAAAAAAAAAATGGGGCACCAGGCGTACGGCATGCACCTGACGAACGGCATCCTCTTCAACCACGAGAGCCCCCGCCGTGGCCCCACCTTCGTCACTCGCAAGATCACTCGGGCCGTCGCCCGTATCCACCGTGGCAAGCAGAAGACCATCTACCTGGGGAACCTCGACGCAAAGCGGTGAGTTTTTTTTTCTTCTTTTTTTGACGTACGGGGAGCAAGAAAAAGAGTCCCGGCGGTGTGTGTTTGTGAGGAGAAGGAGTGCTGCTTGGTGATCGTTCGCTCTTATTTGGCGCCAAGGTACACACTACATTTGTTTGGTGCTACGTCTGCTAGTAGTTCCATACCCCCAATAGCGGGAACATGTTATCTCATCAAGATCCCCCCCCCCCCATGTGTTCTCTGTGCATTCGTTTCCACTGCGTGAACAACAAATAGTGACTGGGGACACGCCAGGGACTACATCAAGGGGATGTGGCTCATGGTGCAGAGGGACGAGCCCAGCGACTACGTCCTCTCCACCGGAGAGTGCCACAGCGTCAAGGAGTTCGTCGAGGAGGTGAAGTATGAAAATATGATAAGACTCAACAGTCGGGGGCTCCGTGTAGGTAGTGCTGGTGAAATTGGCAGGCACAGCTGGAATAAATGAAGCAGGTTACTACATTGAATTGTGCGGGTGCCCGCTCATCAAGGGCGTACGAAGTGTAGATCGGCGGCGTGTATCTTAAGTGGGCGCACGCAGGTAATCGTCGCTGTGTACCGCTTCTCCCATGTTGAGAATAGCGTGTGTTGTGGTGGTGCCCTGTCCCAATCTCTGGGCCCCAGGTCCTACATTCTGCGGGGCCGCCTACTTGTATCGTTTATCATTTCTTCGCATTTTTTTTTTTTTTCTCGGAGTTGAGTGGGAACCACGAAAGCATCAATATAGTAATTTTGTCATTTCGACACGCAGGCGAAGGGCACATCTCCAGAAGGGCACACCTCCCATTTCCATCACGTTTTTTTTTGGCATGTACGCCGCCGTCCCGTTCTTGTACCCCCCTCTCAACCCCCCCTCACCCGTTGGATACGCGCCCCACTTCTGCATCGTTTACATGACAACAATACAAAAACAGTCGTTCAAGTACGTTGGCACGGAGATCACGTGGGTGGGCGAGGGCGTGGAGGAGTACGGGCACGCGAAGGGTGACCCGGAGAATGTTCTGGTCAAGGTCGACCCCCGCTACTTCCGACCCACGGAGGTGGAGCTCTTGCTGGTGAGAGCGTTTTTTTTGCACCGCCTGTGCGGGGTTGGTTGGTTGGGTGGATGGATGGTCAGCGAGCGAGCGTTCGGGGTACGGGCTTTCGGTTGGTTAAGTGAGAGAGGTGCACGTTTTAGAGTTAGGGTTGAAAGAGCGAAGTACGTCAGATGGAAGGACAAGAGAGCGAGACCTGTTGATGATGCTCTCAACAGGTAGGTAGGGTGGGGAGGCTCTTTCCAGATTTTTTATTGGCGAATTTTTTTGTCCTTGTACCGCCCGATGCTGAACGGGTACGATGTCGTCGATGGCGTGTGTGCTAGTATTGCTGCTTGTTGTCCACAACGCCCCCTTGCTGTGGCGTGCTGCTGAGACCTGGTCCTTGCTTACGGTGAACGAAAACTGCCTCTTCCTTGTGTGTGGGGTTTAAGTTCTCTAGGTCGCCGTGTCAAGGCTCATTGGCAGCAAGAATCTCGAAAAAAATTGAGGCATGCCTCCGTGCACAGCACAATGTGCGCACAATTAATTCGTCCTGGGGTCTGCTTTTTCGTTGGCCATCTCCTCTTATCTCAGGGTGACTGTACCAAGGCCAAGAAGGAGCTGGGGTGGGTGCCGGAGATCTCGTTCACGGAGCTGGTCAAGGACATGATGAAGGCTGACATTGCCCACGTTGATGCCGGAAACGAGCACCTCTAAGCAGACTTGTTTATTTCGACCACACTCTTCTTCCCCGTCTTTTTTTTTTTGTTAAGACGAGAGGGGGTAGGAACGAGGTGGGGATGCGGACTGATATGTGTGGGGGGCAAAAAGAAAACCGCCCGTTCGTTTTCGAACGACGTGTTTCGGCCGGCGTTTGGTGTGTTCGGGAGAGAGCGTTTCGCCAGCGCGAAAAGCTACAGGCGGATCGACGCGTGCGATGCGGCGGTTGGAGTCATTATTGCTGTTGCTATATTAATGAAGGGAGGAGGGGAGCTGTTTTTCCGGCGTCAAGCTGCCCCCCTTCTCCTGTTGCGTCCACCTCCTCAAACTAAAGGGGTCAGGCATGTATCTTTCAATTCTTGTGTTTGTTTGGAAGGCGTTGTTTGTTGGGTCTGTCGGGCGAAATTTTGTCGGCTTGGGCACGAACCAGTGTATGGTTTTAGTTGCTTTCTTCGCGCCTAAGCGTCTAGTATTTGTGCAGGCCTCCCGTCGTGTGCACACATCCAATACGGACTGCAACATGGAATGCTTTTTTTTGTAACGGGAAAACTGCGGGATTTGTGTCCCTGGGTGGACTAGCTGCTGTATAGCGTAGCAGAGTCCACCTGTGTAACATTAGGAGAGCCTGCCGGTAACTGCTGCGTGCATTTTTGGACCTGGGACGGGGGAATTGTTGACGGTTTCGGGGGGAACAGTGAGAGTACAGTTGTGGTGTGTCCCCATGTTGTGCGAATTGAGTGCGAGTATTTTGGGCTACAATGATGATAGCGTTTCGCCTTTTTTTGCTGCGAATGTGCGGGATGGTTTTCCGTGCTCTTTTTCTGCAAGCCTGCATCGACTAGATGCAAGTAGTGTCGGAGGGAACGTGTTTTTGGTGGAGTAATTTTTTTCTCGCGCGCATATCTACAGTACACAGAAAGATGAATAGCAGGCCGGTACCGGAATGTATTACTTCTTGAATCGTTTATGTTGTCTTCAAAACCATTGTTTCAACTCGTCCGTGTCCTCCACGAAAGTTGCGCCTCCGTCCATGGAGAGGACCTTGAGTTGAAACACATGCATGTTTTTTTTTTGGTGTTACAGGAACATGTTTCCTACAACCAACCGTCTTTCGGTACGTTCTTTTCCGGAAGCACCAACCAGTCAAGTGACACCCAGGAGGGCCACACAGACGAGACAGGAGGGAGGGGTATTTTTCCTTTCTTCCCGTACCACCTTCTTCTGCGGTGCTCTCCCCCTAGTTTTTGTCGAAAGAAGAAGCATGCTCAGTCGTTCCATTCTTCACCCACACGTCCACAGAGCTTGGCTGTCTGCGCGGGTATGTTTATTATCGACGTACAGGCCAGTAGTACCAAGTACTTTTACCGCCGATCGATCGATACAGAACGGGATCGCAATGAAAAGAACAATGGTCAGCGTATGTAGCATACGTGCAAACATTCGATCTAGGCTAAAAGCAGCGTTGGACCTTATGAACAAAAGAACCTACGATGTGCTCGACGATCGCGACGGCGACGTAAAAAAAACAAAGAAGTATCTGACCGACCGCTCGACATGGCTCCACGCAAGCTCCACCCGAAATTGTTTGTTGCTGGCCCGATCTTGTGTGAAGCAAAAAAAGCTATTAGCCCTGGATCTTCATTTTTCTGAAACTCACCCTATAACGAAACAACGCAGCGCGCCACATGTACGTGGGGCCATGAAACATTGTTGTCTACACTACTGCTGCTGTCCTCGCTGTGGAAAACACCGCCGGAAACTTCCCCAAAAACATTGGAGTGCTGCTGTATGGTACCGAGAGTCATCACGCGACGTGGATTTTGTTTATTCTCATCTCGCCGCCCCCTTCCTAGCACGCGCCTGTGGTCCCTTATTGGTAGATGCCTGACGGGGATGTATGTGTCTTGTGCCTACATTCCTCTCACAACTTCGCACACGAACGGCGGTGTAACAATATTTAGTCTATTGTTGTGGTCCGCACTCTGCTAGCAGCTGACTTCTGTATGCAGGATGCAATGCACTCTGACTCATGGTTGCCTTTCTCCCAATGACGCTTCATGGCTAATTATCGGCTCGAGAAGCTGGGGACGATGGATACAGAGGGAGAGAGAGGGTGGGCTCTGATGCCTACAACCCTTGTCTACTCTTTATATGTTTAATAATTTACTCATATTACGTGCTGTCTAATTAGTATAGTGGTCAGTACACCACATTGTGGCTGTGGAAACCCGAGTTCGATTCTCGGATTGGACAAAAGCGCCAACCTTTTTTCACTATTTTTTTTTTCTTTCAATATTGTCGCGTGTGTATGCACACGTATGTTGGATCTCAATGCCGCCGGTCCACAAGCGGTCCACAGACCGGGACGTATCGTACATACAAAAATGGCCCTACAAAAATTGTACTCTAAAATTGTCGCGTGGGCATATACGCTGCTGTATGCCTATCGCATATGCTCTGCTTATGTTCTTCAGCGTTAACCTTCAATTTATTAATGGGCCGCGATTTTTTAGGCACGCACGCTACTTAGCTACCAAATATTATGCGCACAGGAAGGAGCCACAGGCACACCGCCCGCCTTAGTGAATGAATTAAAAAAATCAACAAACCGAGGGACGATCGATCGATGTCTTTTTCTCCTACACCCTACACTATGCATAGCGAACAAAGCTGAATGAAGTACCTTTTTCAGAATGAGCGCTAAGTAAGCTGGAGCTGGGGGGGGTCGGAGACATGAGGAATACGAACAAGTAAGGCCAAGCAATGTCGCCTGCGCAATAATAGTGCAACATGGTTGCGCTGTTTTTCATATCTCTGTCGAAGACACTAATTTCCGTCTGCCAGGCAAGGTAGCACTCACTCGCCCGTACTTTCTTTTTTTTGTAACAATCAATCGTCTGAGACAGACGAGGGGCATTTTGCTGGACAATGAACGGATTGGTTGGTGAAAGAGCAGACGATCGAGCCCACCTCCATGTTCATAGAAAATAAGGGCTCAATCCCATCCCCACATGCCAGTTCCTCAGCGGTCGCACCGAAGGCTTGTTGCTTGCCATTTCCAGCCCGCATCGCTGGGGACCTCAAGACTTTATGGAACACCAAAAAATATACCCGTAGATATATACCTACTATGTTCCATGCCGCTGTCAAGGGTTTGAGATAGGACGAGTGTCGCCCTGCCATAAAATGAGGCAGGGAAAACAGGCAGGGAAAACATTTTTGAACCGCCCTTGGCAAAGTAGGAAGGAGCGATTGGCCATGGGTGATCGGCTCTGTGGGAACAATGCTCCGTCCTCTCGAGGACGCGTGGTCAATGGTCTAACTGCTAAAACATGCAAAACATGAGTACACCCCGCTCCCCCCCATCGGCTAATCTCGAAGACATGAGTTAGTTTTATTGCCTCGCATGGTTTTTTGGGAGACGGTTCGCTATTGCTCACAAGCGTAGACTCTACACCACTTGCCACGGTCGGCCCAGGAACAACGTGCCTGATTTCGCGGCGACTAGCGCGCTAATACCGCCAACACGTGTACACATATCAACATATTATATCTGATGCGATGACCCGCATGTGTGTGTGCGTGCCATCCGCGCAGTAAGCAACACGCACAACAAAACCACGCATGCATGCTTTCGAAGAAAGGACGACGGTGACCTTCTCGTCTCCCCCGCATCGAAATAAGGTAAAACCTCAACGGGGCTGTAACCTCAACGCTCAATTCTGACCACAGCTCTTCAGTAGGAATACATAACGAAGCGGGGCAGTTCCGCATAGATACGCGATTGCCGCACTTCGGGCACGCGAACAGACCTGCTGAAACATTTATTTCTCCGTTTTGCTGCGTGCTATACTATTCATATCGTGCACAACGTTTTTTTGCCAACACCCCTGCACAGCCTCTTCTGACGCTAAATTTTTCCCAATAAAAAATCAACGTGGAATCAACGCCAAAGCGAAACGATACCAATTCCGGTAAAAAATTCAACAACAGTAAGCAGTAACACTTCCCAAAACCCACCACCGCCACCACCATGTAAGCACCCACATCCTCCCCACCTCCCCGCGAGGCACAGGATACTCAACGCCATACATTGCACTCACTCCTTCAGACCGAGCTGGAACTCACCGCAGCAACAACTACAACAATTTACCGCAAGATTTTTCTGCGTCTTCGTGCCGCGGGTGCACCAAAAAAATCTCACACACTCGAGTCTAACGCACTCCGCTCTCCCTGCGTCTCCCCCTCCTCCGTGAATGCCCCCCCCCCCCCCCCCCCCCCCCCCCCCCCCCCCCCCCCCCC